ATTTTCTACCTCAGCTTTATAGACTTTAAAATAATACAACGCTTCATCTTTAGTCTTCAATAAATACACGTAGCAAAATCTAGTACAATCATCTATAAATCTCATGAAGTATCGTCTACCGTCTTTAGTCAATTCGCCATTCATTTCACATAAATGAGAATGAATGAGTTCTAATGGTGCCAAGTTCCTCGCCTCAGCAGCCTTTTGAGGCTTGCGTGGTTGCTTCGATTGCACACACACCTGGCACTTAAAATCTTTGACTAAGTTAAATTTTGGGATTAAATTCAGATTTGCAAGCCACGTGAGACAGCCAAAATTAATGTGACAAAGTCATGAATGCCATATATTCGACTCATTCGAAACATTAACATTGTTCACCACTTTATTACACACATCATCAAGCAAAGATAAGCGGAACAAGCCTCCGCAATCATAACCTTATCCAACAAATGTTATATGTCTCGACACAACACACTTATTGGACTCAAGTACAATTTTAAAGCCATCGCGACACATCTGAGAAACACTAATAAGATTCTTCTTGATGGATGGGACATGCTGCATGTTCTTTAATAGCACCGTCTTTCCCGAAGTAAACTTCAGAACGACCGTACCAGCACCAAGAACACGCGCATGCGAACCGTTTTCCATCAGCAAGGCTCCAGTCCTGCCGGCCTGATAGGAAGTAAACAAAGAAACATCAGCACACACATGAATGTTAGCACCGCTGTCCATCCACCACTCAGGTGAAAGACAAACTGAAAGAACAAAAGGTAAAGAATTACCATACCCAGATGTTCCTCCTCCAGTCTCGCTAATCACCACGTTTGCTGATTTTTTTCTTGCTTATATTTGCGGTCTGGGCACGCACTTGCCCAATGCTCATCACTCCCGTAAACAAAGCAACCTCCACCTTTCTTGTTGTTTTTCATTTTGAACTGTGCAGTTTGCGTAGGCTTTGCATTGTTGTTCTCTTGCATGCTCTTCTTCTTTTTATTACGAGATGCAAATGAGTTTTTCTTCTACACCATATTGGCAGCGGAAGACTCAACTCCTTTTTCACGGTTGTCCTTTGCTCTCACCCTCTCCTCAACATCAAGAGATCCGATAAGTTTAGCCACGCTAAACTCCTGCCTCTTGTGTTTTAGAGAAGTAGCAAAATCCATCCAAGAAGGTGACAGCTTAGCGATTATACCGCCAGCCACAAACTTATCGGGCAACAAAAATGGGAAATGTTCTAGTTCCTTTGCTAGCGCTTGTATCTCATGAGCCTGTTCGACCACAGAACGGTTTTCAACCATTTTGTAGTCATACAGCTGCTCCATAAGGTACATCTCACTACCAACATCAGAAACTCCGAACTTTGCCTTAAGAGCATCCCATAACTCTTTGCTTGATGTGCAAGATATGTAGTTTTTCTCATACTTGGGATGAAGTGCACTAATCATGGTGCCTCGAAACAGGTTATCGGCAGTCAAGAACTTTTGCTCCTCCTCAGAAGTAAACTGTTCAGGCTTTCCCTGCGCGGCGTGATAGTAGTTTATCGCAGTCAACAACAATACCATCTTGGCACGCCATATCATGAAATTCTTGCCATCAAAATTATTTGGCTTTAAAGCAGCAGCAAAACCACTGACTAAAAATTGCCTAAGATTAGGTTTTGGATTGTTAGAAATTTAGGCATTTTCATTATCAATTTAATCCAGAAAAATAACATCAGCAGGTTCGTGATGACATATATGTGCATGTGTATATCTCTTATGAACGCTACAACATGCAGAGATGACATACCGAAAAATATAGTAAAAACGAGTACAGTAATCACAGAGATTAGAATGTACCCAGCGGAGGGTCCCATGCCGAGGGCATCGGAGGCTCCATTCACACTAGTCGATATAGTGCGTTGCTCGAAGTCGCGGACCACAGTCGGTGCAGAACGATGTTCGCAGTGCAGTCCCACAAACGGATCACCAGGAAGAAGATCGGTTCCGAGAGCACTCACCACTGGGAAGAAGACGTACGTGGACGAGCAGTCGCGGATCGCTCCACAAAAACCTAATCGCTGCACACCCCGTGCAAGGTTCTCAGGCGGACGAGGATTCTGGAGGCACCTGCTCTCCCGCTACTCCATGCGCGCAGAGGTACGTGACGGGGAAGCCAGAGGGCTGCTGAGATGTAGTTTCTCTCGGGAGCGGTTGCGGAAGACAGTAACCTGGACTGACAGGAAGGGAGAGAGGCAGAGGCAGCGGAGAATCCCAGGAGATGGAGAAGTGGAAGCGAAAATGACGGAAGCGGAAAGGACGGTAACTAACGCAATCAGTTCGCCTCCACCATCAAAGGAAGTAACTCCCGTGATTATGTGGATTTAGTGGCAAAAGACTGGCCACGCCCGCCCGCCACGGCCCGGCCGGCGGCGGCGGCGGCGCGCGCCGGTGGCACGCCTATGTCCTTTTGTCAGCTTCTCAATTAAGATGAATAATTTCCAACCATATAAGCTCAGTCAAAGTTTAGTCAAAATCCTGTATGGTATTAAACCATACAACGCTTAATGTTACATTACATAGAGTTTTATTTGATTTATTAAATATTATATGGACCAAGCTCATATTATATGCAACAGGCATTAGTATTCCTACGTGTGGGTAAGTTTAATATTTGCTTGATGCCGGCGAGGACATGCTATCTTTGTTCTTGACCGAAATCAGAATACCCCCGGACAATCTTTTAGATCCAAGGTTTGAAATGGGTGGACTAGTTTTGTTCTGTTCTGACTGCCGGCCAAGCGAGTCCATGCGTCTGCCTCACTGATTCTATTTTCCCAGTCACTACTTGGACTCTCAGACTATGATTTATTTCCTGTTACCATCAATTTCCTCATCAGTGCTGATGATTCCATGTTCCTAAGAGTCATAAGAGAGTTGGCCGTCGTTGACCCCACACGGTACTGCTATTATTGTTTTAATAATCATAATATCAATTTACAAGAGGGAACCAAAGAAAAAAGACACATTTTGTCAGATACAGAACCAAAGGGCAAAAAGACAGATCTGACTGATGACTAGCATTGATAAGAAATGTTGCGCCAAAAATTAAGAAGGTCCGGTTTGGTAGTGCTTCTTTGCAAACAGTGAGAATCAACCAACCATATACTGATATATTCCATCCTTCCATAATATTTTACATTCTAGCTAATCTCACATATTAATAAGGATCAAGGAGCATTAAAGAGGAAAACTATTCCTCCATTGAGCTATAAGTACTTTGAGATACTCTTTACAGTAACAGACATAGGTAGTTTAGAATTAGGGGTCACTTTAGACTATGTTCATAATAGAGAGCTATAAATTGCTTTAAAAACAGATTCTATGGACATTATTGTCAATGATGATTAGAGTCTACCGAATAGATAGCCCGACATTTTTTTTAATTTCTATGATTTATCTTTTTTTCTTGGCACTTCTAAACTTCTTACATGATACAATAATTTGCCGCTGATTATGTTGTAATCATGCATGGATTTGAAGGTGGAGCACGTCGCCGGGATCAGAAGTGGTTTATTCTAGGAGTCTAAGTGTTCTTTACAACACTAGTTGATGTATCCAACTATTGCTCATTGGAGGCCCTAGAATTTACAATAAATTCTGATGAGGAGTGCAATGAGAAAACATAAATCCTAAAAACTCTCACAATAATCACAAACATCTGTCAGTAGACTATAATCATCATCGTCAATAATAGATATTGGATCTATTCTGTTTTATAAAAAGTTATCCACCTTTATTTGTCATTATGAAAAAACACATAAAGTAATCCTTTTGCATGTAAACTACCCACATTTTTCATTATGAAAGATAAATTAAAATAACCCCCTCAAATTTGTATGTAAATTACTCACATTTGCTATATGAAAGATAATTTAAAATAACCCCTAAATCTATACCCAAATTACCCACCTCTATCATTAGAAGATAATTTATAAATAACCCTCTAAATTTGCATTTAAATTACCCATCTTTACTATTATAAAAATAATGCAAAGTAACCCCTAAATTTATATTTGAATTCAAATGCAATCATTAACGTGTCGCCCAAATTGGATTAAAAAATCGACAATTTGTGAAGTAGTTTTTACTTCGTATGTGAAACCATTAGTAGGATGTGTAGATTTTTTTTTTTTTTTTAACACTTTTTTGTTAACTAATTTTAAATCTAACACTGTTTATTTTTTATTTTTAAATCTAATACTTTTGGCCGTGCTTATTGTCATAGGCGCACCACCATGACGTGGCGCACCACCATGACAAACCCTATTGTGTGTGCATGTACGAACTGACGTGGCAAAATTTGCGGCATGAAGTATTTTCATTTTGCTTGGCTATTTTCCCTGGCTCGCGCTCACCACACGCGCAGCGCCCCTGGTCTTCGCCATGTTATCCTCCTGCCGCGCCACCATGTACAACGCAGCATAGGCGTTTCGTCGCGCCATGACAATAGGCGCGGCCAAAAGTGTTAGATTTGGAAATAAAAAACAAACCGTGTTAGATTTAAAATTAGTTTACAAAAAGTGTTAAAATTAAAAAAAAAATTCGATGTGTATTGCCTGATTGGTTAAGTTACATTTGCTTCACGGAAAGCATGCAAACATTGGTTGTGCATATAAAATTGAGTAATCTTATAATTACTTTCCTTGTCTTGTGAAGTCATCAAGTCAAGCAACCGGGAGCAGCAAGTAGCTGCAATTTTGGTCAAAAGTGTGTGGACCTTTTAAGTTTTGTTTACCTCCGAGCAAGGGTAAAGAAGAAATGGCAGGTGGACAGGGATGGATGGCGTGGGCTCCCCGGCCTCAATCAATTTGTATAAAAAACGACACCGTCTCTTGCATTCTGCAACTGCAATGCAATCCAGCGTCTTAGGTTAGTTACACCACCACCACGGCGCTACCTTGCGAGCAAATCAACTTCTCCCATTGATCTCCCATCTTCCGATCCACTTCTCTCATCATGCATCTCGTCGCCGTTCTTTGTGGCTTCCTTTTCTCCCTTTACACTCCTACATGCTCTGCGGCGACAGATACACTCTCACGCGGAGGCTCGCTGGCCAGAGAAGAGAGGCTTGTCTCCAGCAACGGCAAGTTCGCGCTCGGCTTCTTCCCGACCAACAGCAACAATTCCACCAATACCACCTCCAACTCACACCTTGGAATATGGTTCCACAAGGTCCCCAAGCTCACACCGGTGTGGAGCGCCAACGGGGATAACCCAGTCTCCAGTCGTGCTTCGCCGGAGCTCATGATCTCCGACGATGGCAACCTGGTCATCACAGCTCACGGCACCAAGGTCTGGTCTACCCAGGCCAACATCACAGCCAACAACACCGTTGCTGTTCTGCTGGCCGACGGGAACCTTGTCCTGCGGAGCTCCTCCAACTCCTCGGACGTATTTTGGCAGAGCTTTGACTACCCAACCGACACCCTGCTACCCGGTGCAAAATTGGGCAGAAACAAGGTCACCGGTCTGAACCGTCGTTTTGTTTCAAGAAGGAATCTGAATGACCAAGCTCCTGGTGTCTATTCCATTGGCCTAGCTCCTGGCCTTGATGAGAGCATGAGGCTGTCATGGAAATCGTCTACAGAGTATTGGTCTTCTGGCGAGTGGAATGGCAGATACTTCAACGCAATACCGGAGATGTCGGATCCCGCTTACTGCAACTATATGTTTGTTACCAGTGACCAGGAGTTCTACTTCTCCTACACCTTGGTGAACGAGAGCACAATATTTCAGGTTGTGTTAGATGTCTCTGGTCAATGGAAGGTGCGCGTATGGGACTGGGACAGAAATGATTGGGTCACATTCAGCTACTCTCCAAGAAGTCAATGTGATGTCTATGCTGTCTGTGGAGCTTTCGCAATCTGCTCTAACAACGCAAATCCGTTATGCTCCTGCATGAAGGGCTTCTCTGTAAGATCACCTGATGATTGGGAACTGGAGGACAGGACTGGTGGGTGCATCAGAAATACTCCTTTGGATTGCAATGACAGCAATAAAGGTACAAGTATGGCAGATAAATTCTATCCTATGCCATTCAGTAGGTTGCCCAGTAATGGCATAGGTATGCAGAGTGCTACAAGTGCAAAAGCCTGTGAGGGATTCTGTTTGAGTAGTTGCTCTTGCACAGCATATTCTTACGGCCAAGGTGGTTGCTCTGTTTGGCACGATGATCTAACCAATGTAGTTGCTGATGACAGTGGGGAAATTATCTACCTTCGTCTTGCTGCAAAAGAGGTGCAAAGTTGGAAAGACCATAAACATGGAATGAACATCAGTGTAAGTGTTGCTGTGGGTGTAAGCACTGTCACCTTAGCGTTCATCTTTCTAATTGTGATCTGGAGAAGCAGTAAGAGATCTAGTCATCCAGTGGACAGTGATCAGGGTGGCATTGGGATCATTGCATTCAGGTATATTGATATAAAACGTGCAACTAACAATTTTTCAGAGAAGTTAGGTGCAGGTGGTTTTGGTTCTGTATTTAAGGGGTGCCTGAGTGACTCGGTTGCCATAGCCGTGAAAAGGCTAGATGGTGCCCACCAGGGAGAGAAGCAGTTCAGGTCTGAAGTGAGCTCAATAGGCATCATCCAGCATGTCAATTTGGTTAAACTTGTCGGGTTTTGTTGTGAAGGTGATAGGAGGCTACTTGTGTATGAGCACATGCCAAACCATTCCCTTGATGTCCATCTGTTCCAGAGCCATGGTACTGTTTTGGGTTGGAATATTAGATGTCAGATAGCTCTTGGTGTTGCTAGAGGGCTAGCATACTTGCATCATAGTTGTCGAGACTGCATAATACATTGTGATATCAAACCACAAAACATACTTCTTGATGCATCCTTCGTTCCAAAAATAGCAGATTTTGGGATGGCAAAGTTTCTAGGGAGGGATTTTAGCCGCGTTCTAACTACAATGAGAGGAACTATTGGATACCTTGCTCCTGAATGGATTAGCGGAACAGCTATTACATCGAAAGTTGATGTTTGCAGCTATGGGATGGTTTTGTTGGAGATCATATCAGGAAGGAGGAACGCGGGTAAAGAAGCTTTTACTGATGATGAGCATGCTAAGTATTTCCCTGTGCAAGTCGTGGACAAGCTTCTCAGTGGAGGCATTGGAAGCCTTGTGGATGCAAACTTGGGTGGCGATGTCAACCTAGATGATGTTGAAAGAGTCTGCAAAGTTGCATGTTGGTGCATTCAGGATAATGAATTTGACCGCCCTACAATGGTTGAGGTAGTACAGTTTCTTGAGGGCTTATCTGAGCCTGATATGCCTCCAATGCCAAGATTGCTTCATGCTATTGCTGGTGGCTCACCTTGATGTCATAGAAATACTTATATATACATGATCAGGATTTGGGTCAATCCATAGATACCTTAGAGATAGACGTCTTCTAAAGAATGTTGATGTATGTTATACATGTTACACCTCTTTGTAACCATATGTGTGGATGACCGTGTAATTTTTTTTTGTGTGATTATACCATGTTGGATCTCTGTTTACGTCCACATATATTAAGCACTACTGCACTAGCCAACTGGTGAAGTTAGCATAACCTCTGCTATCTTCAAATGTTCATATTGATCTAAATTTGTATCAAAACAAGTTTTACTTTGAAGCCACTCAAATTTAGAACTATAGTAATGTGGTTGTAGAACTTTACAGGTATGCTAATGTATGGGCAACTAACAATAATTAGCCCATAAGTGGTGAAAGTATGTAAAGGCTAAGGCTAGTTGAAGTAGTCTAACTATGATTTTTTAAATAGTTTTAAATTAATATTTTAAAGTAACTTGTGTACAACTTATGCTGATGTATGGAGCAAGAGCAACGGTGAGAGAGACGAATGCCCGCTCGTCCATAGAAAAAAAATATCTAACACCAATTGTTCGTGCCCGAGTGGGCAACGATGAGTGACGGCAACACAACATGATGCAAAGAGAGGAGCAGGAGCAGCTGTGGAGGCAAAAGAGAGGAGCAGGAGCAACATGATTCAAGGATAGGTACAAGTAGAGATGAAAACGGATCAGATATGAACGGATATTACTGATATTATATTTGTTTTCATATTCCTGTCCGGATTCGGCTTCGAATACGGATAATGTCAACCATTACGGATAATGTCAACCATTCCGGATATGATACGATTAGATATATACACCATAAATATGCGATTTGAGTATTCGGATATGAATATGGTATCGGATGTTGAATATCCAAATTCGGATACGGGCAGATCTGAACCCCCTCTAAACAGATTCGGTCTCAAATACGGTCGAAAAATATCCGTACTGTTTTCATCCCTAGGTACAAGGGTCATATCGACCGACACATGAGCCTCGTCGAATGGATTGAGGAGAGAGAAACACAAGCCTGACACTCATTTCGTCAATACGTAGGCCAATGTTTCTTTTCCCATGTACATTGCCCAGATCATTTTATCCTTGCCTATTAAATAAAAAGGGAAATTTTGCTACAAGACATCCAACTTCATTGGATTTGGCTATTTCACACCGCCAACTCCAATATTTGCCAGGTACCATTATGAAATCGTGGTTGTTTGCTGAAACACACCGCACTCATTAAAATAATCATTTCTCAAATCTGGGAGAGAGAAAGGAGGGAGAATAGACAATTTTGCCCATGGCTCATCTAACTGCAGGTTTTCTTCCATTTCTGCCCCCTTCCTCAAGTCTGGCGACACCATTTCAAGAAGTATGGTGAATGGCCGGCCGGCGAGCCTTGCCGTGCCTGCCCTCACCCACACCCCTGCGTCTCCCCATCCTTCGCCCACCCGCAAGTAGCCTCCATCGCTAAGGCCGACGCGTCAATCTGCGTGCTCTTCACGACCTACGACGGCTTCACCGATGACCTGCGCTAATCCGCCATTGTCGTCCGCATCCATGCCGGCCAGCAGCCATGCGAGGCCTCCTCCCCGTGGGCGCAGTCCAGCCATCGCACCAAAGCACCACCATCTCTAATTGTGTCGCTATCGTCGTCGTCCATGTCGGCGCCCAAAGATCTCGCGAGCTGCTTGAGCCGGAGAAGAGGCGTGCCGCCGCCGTTCACCGGTGGTGGTGGGACTGGGCTGGTCGCCGCCGCCGCAGCTGCCCAGTGCCGAAGGGCATACTTAGCGCGTTCCCTAGAGGAGTGGCCAGCCAGGCGGAGCTCCCGGCGGTCGGCCAGCCCAGCCAAAGCGGTGCTCCCAATGGCGCGCCATCCTGTGGGCAGTGCTCCCCGGCGGCGCAGCCAGCCGAAGGGCGGCATTCCCTGGCGGCGCAGCCATCCCAGGGGCACGCCCTCCCCGGAGGCGCGCCACCATCCAGGCGAGAGCTCCCATGCCAAGCCATCCTATGGGCACGCTCCCCGGATGCGCGGCCAGCCCAGGGGCGGCCCTCCCGGGGCGCAGCCATCGTAGGGGCACGCCCTCCCCGGAGGCGCGGCCAGCCCAGGGGCGGAGCTCCCCGCCAGCACGGGCAACCCAGGGGCGAGCTCCGCTGCGCCATATCGGCACCATATGAGCGAGAGGAAGAAGATGAGGGCAAACACGTCATTTTCCATAGCTTCTCTCTCCCGGAACCGGCAGAAATTATATTTTAATGGGGGCGGTGTGTTCTAGCAAATGAATCCAATTTCATAATGGTACTCGGCCAATATCAGAGTTGGCGGTGTGCAACAGCCAATTTCATGTTTTCCGAATGTCCTGTGGCCAAATTTCCCAAATAAAAAATAGCATTTGAAGTATAGAAAGAGACCGGTTGTTATATGTATTAGGCTCTAAGGGGTTGTTTGGATTTAAATTTTTTTATAGGAAAATCAAAAGGAACGAAAACGTGGGAACGAGAGTCGAGCAGAGCATTTGAAACAAAGGAAAAATAATGTTTCCTTTCCTCTGGAACACTGCACCTCCTTCAGGATTTCACGGGAAAGAAAAAACTAACTTGAACTTCTGGTTTCTGATTCCTTTGTAGAAGCCCTAGGTGACTAAACCATTAAACTCATTGGATGGGGTGCATTACCATGTATAAAAAGAGCTAGGTAACTAACTTTTAACGTCTAGTTCGATTCATTGTTTTGCACTAAGTGCTTTCACTCAGCTGCTTTCCTTTGTTTTGATTTTCTGCAATCCAAACACTCTTTCTGTTCGCATTTCTACATAATTTTCTTTCTTTTGTTTTGCTAGGATGCCTATATCTTGTTTTTTCGTTTTTTTTTCTCGTGCCTCCGTTTTATAACTTTGTTTGAAACAAGCTCTAAACTTGTTTATTGATGACTTGATTTGATTTATAGACAGGGTTTATTAGACTTGGTCTAAGAAAGGAGCATGATCGGAGCGAGGGAGACAAATGCCTGCTAGTCGATACTATCTTCGTTCCAAATTATAAGTCGTTTTGATTTTTTTCTTCATCCATTTTGCTATGTATCTAAACATATTATTTATCTAGATGCATAACAAAATAGATATACCAAAAAAATTTCAAAGCGACTTATAATTTGGAACGGATGGAGTATAGAACATAAATGAGAGGCGAGGGCAAAAATATCTTTTCACATGGCTAGGAAAAAAATTCTTCTATAAAAAAGGAAAGAATATAAAAAATGTAAGAAAGAAGAATATATAGGGAGAAACTATCTAACGCCAAAGATTCAGCGTCTCTGGTGTCAATTTTCAAAGTACACATGAATTAAATGTTAAATTCAGAGTGTCGGGTATCTTAGGACGGGGTACCCCGAGCGAACATCAAAGGGGGCACTTAAGTCCCATCAAAATACAAAGTTAGAAGGTAAGCCGTGGGCCCCTCACCCGCCACGTCCGAGCCCGCCAGGCTCTCCGCCTCATCTCGAGCCTCACTCTCTCCCTCGGCGTCCCCGACGCCATGTCCGCCTCATGCGAGGCTCTTCACTGAAGGCCTCGGCAAGGAGTCCGATCTCCGTCTCGCGAGGCTCCGCCCGCCTCACGTAAGGCCTCATTCTCCGTATTGGCGCGAGGCCGATTTATCCATAGTCCGTCGCCCCGCTTGACCGACCCTCCCGACAAAGACGTCATGTCCCATTAATACTTCAACCACTCCCGCAATCTCCACCGGACGACGGCTTGACACCACAGAATGGCCGACGGGGGACTGAGGTCGCATCAACGCCCACACATCAGATCAGTGCCCATACCGGTACCGGATTACTGGCCATCGTGTTCTGACAACAGGTCCACGATCAAGCGCCCATCACATCAGATCAGGCTCTTCGCGATCCCCGCCTCGAAAACAACATCGCTGGACTACTTTGGCCCGGGTCATCACCGCCTCAAGCCACCTCGCCAGATCAGCCGCCCTCTCAACCTCGGCACTATACACCAAGGTCTCGGCTATCTCGGGTTCGTGGTTTCGCTAATGAGACCCCCCACATGCAGTGCAGCCTCGCAGATCGACCAAGCCTTGGCCTCACGCAGCGCCGCCAATCTACGACGATCCGCGTCCCGCCGCCAAGACTGCTCCGAGTAGCCCAAGCTCCCATGATGCATAGGGTCGGACGTGACGACCAAAGACGTCGCCCTCAAAGGCTCCAAGGACGGACCACTCCGACTACCATGCCGCCACAGAACAGGCCACGTGGCTCGGACACACCGCCCTGCTGCACGACCGCCAGATAGTCAAGATATGTACTGTCCTTGTCCTCCCTTCAACTATAAAAGGAGAGGACTTGGGCCCCTTAGGAAAGAAAAATAGGGAGAACACCTGGTAGCTCACACACATACACATCCCAAATTGCGAAGAGCAACGTCTCAAGCAGCCCACACGACACCTCGCCGAGACACAGGATTAGCTCCCTCTCTCCCCGTGCTCTGTAACCCCTACTACTAGCACTTCGGTGCAAGGAATACAAGATCGATCTCTCGATCGGGCGTAGGGGCATCGATTGCCCGAACCAAATATAAACCTTGTGTCTCTTTGCATCACCATCCGGGATTAGGGGCACGCAGTTCAAATTCACTAGTTGGTAGAGGACCCCCGGTCCAAAACACCGACAGTTGGCGCGCCAGGTAGGGGAGTCTGTGTGTCAGTTTCGTCATCCCAATAAGTTCCGGATGGTAGACCCCGTACGACCGTTATGTCGCAGCACGGTAATCTGGTTCGGGGGCCTAGAGTTTATGTCTCTGGGGCATGAGTACGACATGGTACTCCTCACGCCCGAGCCCCACCAACCGACGGCGACGCTATGCCGCAGGCACCAGCGCGCAGTGGCGCCGGGCGGCCTCTCTCTCGTGCTGCTCGCCAGGCATGACGCGAGCAAGACCACCCCGATGCTACTCGAATCCAGGACGG